TTGGAAGTCAGTTTCTTCATCTGTAATTTGAGAGGTTGGACTAGATAGAGTCCAACTCTAAGGTTGTGGTCCTCTGACCCCCTACTGAGATGTGGAGGGACCCTGATCTACTCCATGGAGGAAACCCCCAACTGATGAAATCCTCACAGAATCTAATTCGTAGAAATGTAGAACCTCAGAGCTGGAAGGGACCTCAGAATGCACCTAGTTCAACCTGAGCAGAAATCCCCTTCGCAGCATTCCCGACAAGTGGTCAGCCACTTGAAGACATTCACTGCCTCCTGGAGCATACCATTCCACTTTTGGTTTGGTCTGATTGTTAGGAAGTTTTCCCTTATATTGACTCAAAATCTCTGCAACTTCTATCTGTTGCTTTTAGCTCTATCCCTTGGGACCAGGAAGAATGAGTCTAATTCCTAAATTTGTAAACTTGGCCAAGTCACTTTCCCTCTCTTGGCCTCAGTTTCCTATTCTGTAAAATGAAGGGATTGAGCTAGAAGAACTCTGAAGTCCTCTTCATTCTAACATCCTATGCTACTATTCTCTAATTTTCTCCATTTTACTTGGGGACAGTTCTGTTTGGAGGTTTCCCCTTATATGGAGCCAAACTCTGCCTCCTTGTAACTTCCTTCCACTGGTCCTAGTTCCGTCTTCTATGCATAATACAGAGCACTTTTTATTATCATTAATATAATTATTGTTAGCAAACAGTAGCTGTAGAGTTGTTTGACTCTAAGGCCTTTTGTCACTGCAGAGTTGACTGGACGTTAAATCCATCGATCTAATATGACAAATATGATAAGCAGAAAGAAAGCCAAGTGTGTTGAGAGAGAGAGAGAGAGAGACAGAGAGAGAGAGAGAGAGAGAGAGAGAGAGAGAGAGAGAGAGAGAGAGAGAGAGAGAGAGAGAGAGAGAGAGAGGCATGTCCTGCTATCCCCCTGTGCTATGCAGCTGCTTCACATTCTGGCCCAACTCCAAGGCTTCTTGCAATACAACATAGCCAAAAAATACAAGGCTCTCAAATCAAGAAGGTTGCCTCTAGAATCATATTTTCCAGTAGACAAGGTTGGGGGAGGCTAGGGGTTCAGAACAGAGCAACCAGTTTGGCCAGTCAGGGTGATCTGAAGCTGAGGAAACACTTTTCATTTCAAAGGAACTTAGACATCACTTGGGAATGTTTGTGGAGGGAGACAGGGAGGGCTAAGCAGGATGTCCCTAGGGAAGGGGATAGAACACAACTCCCAGCAGAGCTATGCTCCCTTCCTCATGGGGAATCTAGGCAAAGAAATTTGGTTAAAGAAAGAGCCTTAAATTTTGGAGAGAAATTTCCCAGTTGACACTGATGTTTTTGGTGAGAGACTCCAATCCCATCCCTCATCTTCTACCACTCCCCATTCTTAGACTTATGTAGCAAATTTCAGGGTGTTAAGATGAATAGTACTAAATTATAGGACATTAGAGATGGGAGAAACCTTAAAACCAAATATTCAAAAAAGATCCTTATTGATATCTTTTGTTTTTAAATCACCAAGATGTTCCCCTTTCCCAGAGGGCCATCTCTTCAAACAAAGAATTTTAATAATAATAAAAAACAAACAAACAAAGGAGGGGGGGGAAGTTCAGCAAAACCAATTTAAAAAATCTTGCATCATTTGCAATAGCACATAGAGTGTTAATGACTAGAAAAGACTTAAGAACATAGACTATCAGAGCCTCCAAGTGTCTTAGGGCATTCATTGAGTGTTAGAGCTGAAAGAGATTAAAACATAGCATGTTAGATCAGAAAGGGGTTTGAAGATATAGGATGCTCAAGCTAAAAGGGACATTAGAACGTAGAATGTTAGAACTCACAGGTACCTCAGAGCGCTGAATTTTAGCAATGTAAAGGCCTTCAGGATACATAGTGTCAGAGATGGAAAAGAACTTATTCAATCCAATTCCTTCATCTTATTGATGAGAAATCAGAGGCTCCCAGTAGATGAAATGGCTTATCCAGGAGGGCGTTTTGAAATCATGGCCCTCTTACTCCAAATCCAGGACTTTGCCTATGCCATTAATTAACTCATTGACCTTCAGCTGGTCAGTTCTCCTCAATGGGCTTTAACTTCCTCATCTATGTAATGGAAGTGGATGAAGGGGGTTGACTAGATGATATCAAAAGGGCCTTCAGTTCTAACCTTCCTGATTCTAGCAAGCATAACCCATGTCCCTAAATAGAACATATATAATATAATGCAAGTGATTTTTCACTTTTCTGTTAATAAGAGAGCTTAGCTCAGAGCCCAGAGTTTTTGGAGGCCATTTCTGAACAAACTGAGCTATCTCTTCTTTTCATCCCGGTACATGACCATACCCTCTGGTCACCACTGAGATTCCACCTACCGCCCTGTGACCAGAGAACTGAAAGATCACATTTTGGTGAGATCTCATTGAAAATTGATAGAGATCTGTGATATATGGTTTCATTTGTTTGTTTGTTTATACTGGTTGGCATTTATTACATCATAGGATTTAGAGCTAGTGAGATCATTTAGTCTAACTCCATTATTTTACAGATAAGGCAACTAAGGCCCAGCAAGGTTAAGTGATTTGCCCACGGTCACACAGGAAGGAAGCATCAAAGCAGGAATGCACATATACAACTTCTGATTTTTCAATCCCAGGTTCTTTCTTTCCCCACCTTTAACAAACACACTATCCAAAAATGAAGGCCTTTTACCTGAGAATTGGATTGGTCATCATCCCAGGGACAAAGAAATATAGAGCATGATCAATTATCCAATGCAGAGAAGCAAGAATCACTGAAATTCCTTCCTTCTAGCCCCAAGGTTTTATGTGTGTGTTTTGTTTTGTAAATGAAGAACTCCTGCCATCTTTGTCCCCTAATCCTACATCATGGCTTGCAAGCAAAACGGTGTGGTGGAAATAGTGCTAGATTTTTGAGGTGTCTGAGGAGCATGTTAATGAAGGTTTGGAGTCATAAGGCCCAGATGTGAATCCTGCCTCGGCCACTTAATAGCTGAATAACCTTGAGCAGATCGCCAACCTGTCTGGACTTCAATTTCCTCATTTGTAAAATGGAGGGGCTGGATTAGATGATCTCTAAGGTCTTCATCTAAAAGAAAAATGTCTGTAATACTCTGACTTTAAATTCTTGGAGACTCTTCTAGTGGAACACAAGCACTGGTAGGTCTTACCCAGCTAGAAAGCCTTTGAATACAGACTTCAGTGGCAGACTGTTATCTCTCAGACCAGCTTATGGAGAAGCTTATGACATTCATTTATTCACTCATTCCAGACATTTATTAAGCGCTTACTATGTGTCAGGCACTGTGCTAAATATTGGGAATACAAATGCAAGCAAAAAAAAAGACTTCCTGCCCTCAAGGGGCTTACATTCTAATAGGTAAAGGCTTACATTCTAACACATAAAAGGAAAGCAGAAATGGTTGAAACCACAGGATGAGCTCCTTTGACCACACATATTCAGGCAACCACTTTACTAAGGTCTGGAAAAGTTGTGGTCTACACTTGTGAGGGGGCTCCACATCAAAGTGTTGAACTATTAATAAATGGTGAAATGATTGAGGAAAATAAGGTCTGCAATGGAAGGCAGAGGAAAACAAGACAGCTGCTCAAATGCACTGAAGAGTCAAGTCAAAGGCTGGTGCTCCCTCCCTCACCCACCCAGTTTGAAGAGAGGATGCGTGATGTCTCTTCCTTCTGAACCTGCGCTCTATCAGATGTGACATGCCTGGGAAGCCCTAGGCTAGGAATTAGGAGGCCCAGGTTCACATTTCGGTTGTCTCTCTTGACTTTGTGGCCTTTGCTGATAGAGCAACCTTTTTTCATCTGTCAGAGCTGGAAGACAGCCTTGTCCTTTTACAGAGTTTGAAAAATGAGAGTTTTCCCGTGTTGCCTTTGTCTTCATTTTAAAATGAAGAACATAGAGAGAGACAGAGACAGAGAGAGGCTAGAAGGAAGGAATTTCAGTGATTCTTGCTTCTCTGCATTGGATAATTGATCATGCTCTATATTTCTTTGTCCCTGGGATGATGACCAATCCAATTCTCAGGTAAAAGGCCTTCATTTTTGGATAGTGTGTTTGTTAAAGGTGGGGGGGGAAAGGAAAAAGAGAGAATAGAGAGAAAAAAGAAAAGACAGAGAGGAGGGGGGAGAAGAGAGGAAAAAAGAGGGAATAGAGAGAAGAAAGAAGAGACAGACAGATGAAAGGGGGGAAGAGAAGGACAAAGGACTAGAGAGGCAGAGTGACAAAGACAGACAGAGGAAGAAAGAGAATAGAGAAAGGAAGAGGGAGAGAGAAAGAAGACAAAAATAAAAGAGAGAAAAATATAGAAAAAAACAGGAGGGGAAGAAGGGGAGAGGAAGATAGGGAGAAAGGGATAGAGAGACAGAGAAGAATGAAGGGAAAGGGTAAGCATGGGAGAGGGGCAGAGAGGCATAGAAAGAACAGAGTTAAAGGTTCAGAAAAGGGAAATGTCTAAACTCATAGCTAGTGTCAGAGGCAAGATTCAAGCCCAGGTCTCCTGACTCAAAAGCTGACAATCTTGCCACTATACCGTATTAAGGTGCTTCCCGTTTCATGCCCTTAGGTTCCTTGTGGGATTGGAATAGATGATCAACTCAAATAATTGTAGAGCCCTAGTGGTTCTTAACCTTTTTTTTTTCATGAATCCCTTTGATCTGATGAAGCCTCTGGAACCCATTTCAGAATAATGTTTTAAACTGCATTAAATAAAATATATGGGATTACACAAGAAACAAATTATACTGAAATAAAAGTGTATTTTTTTTGTGTGCCATTCATAAGCCTCTTGAAATCTATCCAGAGACCCTTTTGGAGTCCATTGACCTTAAGTTTAGAACCTCTGTCCCATGGGATCTATATATATGTATGTATATATATAGTGCCACTCCATAAAGGATGAAAAAAACCGGGTGCTCTGTGAAATCTCATTGTTTCTTTCCTTCTTCCTTAGAGGCCCCGGATCATCCTAGGACAGTTGAAAGCTGAGTGGGCTATATTTTCTCCTATTTTCCTGGGAGAACAAGCATTGGCCTGGGGACTGCTACCTTGTTGTGCTGCCTGCCTCCAAGTCTTTGTCTAACAGTGACCTTTCTGCCACTGGAAAGGTGACAGAGGAGCTCAAGATCTGAAGGCAAAGGAGCAGTGAGCCATGGAAGTAGATAATCTGGAAGGAACATAGCTGATCAAGAGCTGGGAGATGAGGGCAACCCAGGAAACTGCAATCTGCTGCAGCCAGAGATCTCCAAACACCAAAGTCTCTAGGATGGAGAAGAGGGTTAGCGTGGGCTTCCCTGTCCCACCTAACCCGAGGACAGTGACACAACGCTTTGACACTCCAGGGATTTTATTTCTTTATTATTAACAAGTTCATGGGAGTCAGCTTGAACTGGCCTCATAATGGGACCCAGGGGACAACAGGACCCAGATGGGCTGTGTTGTCAAGTTTGAAAAAAATAATAATCGTTTTAACATAAATGGAAGAAACACTGAAACAGCTTAACTTTGTACTTTGACATTTGATTCTCGGTCATGGTTTTTTTCTCTCATTCTCTCCACAATATACCATCTGCCCCTCCCCGACTTTTTGTTTTTCTCCCTTTTTCCTTCTCTCTCTTTTCTCCTACTCTCTTTTCTTTCTTCCTCCATCCCCTCTCTTCTCTCCACATCATCTGTTCCTTCCTCCTTCATTTTCTCTCTTCTTTCTCTTTTCCCCCTCTTTTCTTCTGTTTCTTCTGTACTCTTTTTCTCCTCTCCTTCCCTATTTTCTTTTGTTTGCTTTCCCCACTTTCCTTTCCTTTTTTCCTTCTCTATCTGCATGTTTTTCTCTATTTTTTCTCTCTCTTTTTCCTCTTCTCTCTCCCCCTTCCTTACTCTATCTATTTATCCATTTCCCTCCCTGAGAGCCTCCATGCTGCTCTGACTAAAGGGAAGCGGAGGGCAGTGCAAATGTTTAGTTTTTCTGACACTCCTATGAAGCAGAGTGTGATTGCAGGTGTGTCCCTCCATCCCTCTCCTCTGTTTAGAGAAAAGGAATATTATGAAAACACAAACTTTAAAAAGGATAGAAGAAGAAAAGAAATAACCATCCTGTGAAAGGACTCACATTCATCACATGGTGCCTTTAAATAAGGAATTCCCTATGTGCAGTTAGTGTGTAATATGATTTGTGAAAACTCACATCGCACGAAACATCTCAGGAAGGAAAGAAACAAGCATCTCTGAAGCACCTACTATGTGCCAGGCATTCTGTTAAATGCTTTACAAATATTATCTCAGTTTATCCTTACAACAACCCTGGGAAGTGGGGGTTACTATTATCCCCATTTTATAGTTGAGGAAACTGAGGGAGATAGAGGTTAAGTGACTTGCCCAAGGTCACACATCTTGTGTCAGCGGCTGGATTTGAATTCAAGTTTTCCTGAATCCTCTAAGGAAGACACCATCATAAAGCATGTTCCCCTTTGTATGATTTGAGGACATCTTTCTCTACAGCCTGATGAAGCTTTGTATGTTGGGATGTGGGGAGGGCAGGGTCTATGAGAAGAATCTTTTTAATTTATAAGAAGAGACTATATACCATAGCTTCTGGTTAGTATCTAGGAGGGCTAGTAGATAAATCACTGGATGCTGAATGGAGACAAGAAGACTTGAGTTTGAATCCAGCCTCTAACACTTATTAGCTGTGTGACCCTGGCAAGTTACTTTACCTCACTTATCCTCAGTTTTCTCATCTGTGAAATGGAAAGAATAATAATAGCACTTAGTATGCAAATTTATTGTGAGGAGAATGGGGATAACCTATGTAAAGCACTTTGTAAATCTTGAAGTGCTGTGTAAATGTTAGCTATGAATTTAATTCATAGAACTCTATATCTAGGGGGGACTTTAGAACACAGCACAGAATGTAAGAGCCAGTCAGTACTTAGAACATAGAATATTTTATCTGGAATGCACTTTGGAGGCTATAAAGCATAGGAAATGCCTGAGAGACTTAATCTAATTCAACCTTCTAATCTTACAGATGAGGAAACTGAGGCCTAGATAGGGAAAGGTCATATAGTGAGTCAATGGCAGAGAAAAGATTCCTACTCAAATATGCTGACTCCCAACCCAGTCCCTTTCCGTGATATCATCCTGATTTGACTCACCTAGTAAGGATGAATGCTGTAAGAGCGCTGAAGAAGAGGGAGTTGTTCTAAGTGCTAGGAACTAGTAAGGGATAATAGGTTTCCTTTCTCTAACACTTGACACTTTACAAAACAGTTTTACCATATCAGGCCCATGAGGGAGACAGCGCAGGGATCATTTTCCTTGTTTAACATATGAAGAAACTGAGGCTGAGACAGGGGAAAGGACTTGTCCAAGCTCGGGTGATTAAACGGTAGCACAGCCAAGGCAGAATCCGTTTCTTTAATTCCCTTCAGTAGTCCTTACAGAAGCACACTGTTGTGTGCTACGTTGGCTTTGGAGAAAGCCAGCAAACGGGTGACTTGGGGCGTCTTCATCAGCAGAGTGAAAGTGCTGGGCTCCATCCCTAAGGTCCCTTCTAGCTCTGACATTCCCTGAGCGAGCATCACAGCGAGTGAGCCACTTTGGGGAGTGGATGGGGGGTGGGGTGGGGGTAGGGAGGGGGAAGGAGGGGCTATCTATTGAGACACAGATAGTCAGCATCCCATCACCCTCTGGCGGCCAGAATATGCCACTTGGTCTTATCTGATGTTTCATTAAAGTAATATTCAACATACAGAGAATAGAGCTTCCTGGTTGATGCTGAGGGGGAAAGACCAGGAGGGTTAGTGGCTTGTAAACTCAATAAGTCAACAGCGTAACCTGGTAGTCCCCAAAGCTAACTCTATCTGCACCTAGGATGCATTAATGAGCAGATGCTTATCAGAACAAGGGAGGAAGTAATCCTGCTGATAGTTTCAAATTTTAGTTCCAAATTTACTCCCTCCTTTCCCTGCCTCACCCCTCTCTAAGACAATAAGCAATTTGATATTAGGTTTCATATCATCGATGTTCTTTAAAAGCCCGCTGTGGACAGAACCCCATGCTCAGCTCTGGGGCAGATACAAAGTTAAGAAAAGACATGACTCCTGCTCTCACAGAGCCTAAAGTCTGTTAAGGGCTAGATAACCTAAACACAGAAAACCATGATATGCATGAACAGATAACAGCAAGATTATACAGTTAATGCATTCGAGGTCCAGAGTGTTACCAACTGGAAACATCAGGGAAGGCTTCCTGAAAAAGGTGGCATTTGAAGTAGATTTTACAGGCAAGATTTCAACAAGTGAAGAATTTCTGGCCATTACCTATGAGAGTACAGAGGCATGTAGGTTTGTGAGCTAACCAGCTCTCAGTGGATAGAACAGGATTTCCTAGGATCTAGGGCTAGAAGGGACTTTAAAAATCATGACACCTTGTGGTATAGTGGATAAAGTGCTAGGCCTGGGGTCAGAAAGACCTGAGTTCAAATCTGACCTCAGACACTTATTAGCTGTGTGACCTTGTACGAGTTATTTAATTCCTATGTGTCTCAGTTTCCTCATCTGTAAAATGGGAGTAATAGACTCTATTTCACAGTGTTGTCATGAGGATCAATGAGATCATTTTTGTAAGGCTCTCGGTATGTTGTACCAGTTAAGTCTTTCCCTTTAAAAATCATCCAGGCCAACCTCCTTATTCCACAGATAATAAAATGAAGCTTAGAATGAGAAAATTACCTGATCAAAGTCACATAGCTAACAAGTAGCAGACCTGAGGTTTGAGCTCCAAACTGCTCATTTTTCCAATATGCCATAGTAGTTTTAGACTTGGTTTCAAATGCAGACTCTGAAATCTTCTTTAAGTGTTTCCTTACAGCAGTCACTTCACACTTGTGAATTTTAGGAGCCCTTTCTCTTTAAAATCAGAATCATAATTGTTTCACTCCTCCACCAGATATACCAATAATAATATATACCAATAGGTACCTCATCGGAGTGTGGAGGTAACCCTGGGCTCTAGAGTGCCTGGCAGGTGAGGTGCAAGTTCTGGGGAGAAGTGGTGAACCTTGATTCTTTTTTCTCTAACCCAGAACATTTCCTCCCAAGAAACTTGGGCAGGAGAGTATAAACATGTCCTTTGCGATACTGCAAAGACAGGAAATTGCATTTCAAATAGAGACCCAAAGACACTGTGCCCATCATTCAAGGATGGAGTACTGAAAGGATCATCACCAGGGTGATGGATTTGCCAGCATTACTCAAGGACCATTGACTGTGATTGAGGGATTGGGGTCCGTGTCAATGGAGGGAGTACCTGTACCACTAACACTACAGGTTCAATATAATTTAACAAGCATTTATTAAAACAAAAACAACAACAATGTGCCAGGAACTATACTGGGCGTGGGGGATTCAAAGACAAAAATGAAACACTCCCTTATCCTTAAGGAGCTTACATTATACTGGGGGGGGGGTATTATGTGCACAAATAAGATGAGTATACACAAGGTAATTTTGGGTGTGAAGGGATGGGTGAGCAGTGGTACACTAGCACCCTGGGGGATCAGGAAATGCTCTGGGGCAAATGAAGCTGGACCTTAAAGGAACTAAGGGCCTCCAAGAGCCCGGGGTTAGGAAGGAGAGAGCTTGAGGCACAGGGCACCATCTACCTAATGAGACACACACAGATGGGAGACAGGATGATGCATAAGAGGACCATGAAATAGGACAGAGATTCTGAACCTTTTTGCATGTGTCCTGGAGCCCTTTGGCAGGCTGCTGAAGCCATAGCTCCCTTCTTAGGGTAATGTTTTTAAATATATAAAAATAAATGCTTATTATTGGAATATAGTTATCAAAAGCATATTTTTAAAAGTTCTTAGAGCCAAAATTAAAAACCTCCGAATTAGGGCATTTGGACTGCAAAACAGCTCACACAGGGGGTGGGGAGAGGTGGATTAAGGCTTACAATGATAGATTAGAGGCAGATAATAACGGCTTTTAAAATTTGTGCTTTATCATAACAGTTAGAGGGGGCCGTGAAAGCACTGAATATCCTTGAAGCATTGAGTAAGTAATCTCTGCATTCTGAGGGCTCTGGTGAGAAAAACATTTTAAAAAAAATCTTTTAAGTGCTATAACAATTAGGGTTGACATTAGAAATAGTCATTCGAAGTGGGGGTGGGGTGGGAATCGAGGCTACCAACATCCCAGTTCCGCCACTTACTCCTTGTGTGACTGTAGGAAAGTCACTTTGCCTCTCTAGGCCTCAGTTTCCTCATCTGTAAACTCAAGAGGTTGGGCTAAAGGCCTCTGAGGTCCCTTCCAGTGCTAGTTCCATGAGCCCGTGATCCCTTAGGCATATAGTTCTACACTTCTCCCTTCTCCAGCATAGAGGGCAGATTAGTCGTTCTGGATGCTGGCTGAAACCAATGGGAAGGGTCCAAGGGAAGCCCCGGTAAGGGAAGATTCTGGAGCCTGGAGCTCTCTAGTAGCCGTCTGTCCTTGACCT